AGGAACATAGAGCAGACCTTCAGTCAATTTTCACCTGGCTCCTGCTCATGTTTTCACCAACAATTAGATTAAAAACATTTTTTTTTTCAATGGTTTCTGACTTTTTTGTGTTGAAAAAGGGTTTTGCTGCCAGTGCCTTGGACAGCGTATGCATTCCACCAGATGCCATGTGCATGCAGATATGTCGCAAGGCTTCAGAACCCCATCAGCCCCATTATTTAAGATTTTCACAGGAAGAACTGATTTAGTTCTCCATGCGCACTAGCGGGTTTTTTTAAGCTAAAAATAAAAAATGCTGGTAATAGCGTTGTTTTAGTTGCATTTAGAAGCATTTACGAGTGTCAGCTTTTTACTAGCATTTATACAGTACATGTAAAAAAAAAAAAAAAAAATAGAAAAAAGTTTTAGTACTGTTTAGGAGCATTTAGCATTTTTTTCTGCTGGAAAAACATTTTAAAAAAACTCAACAAAAACAATTTTTTTTTTTCTGCTCCTAGATGCTGAAGCTCTAAAAACCTAGTAGCCTGCAGTAGTATGCACGGACGCATAGGAGAACACTATTTAGCTTGTAGGAGCAGAAAAAAATGTTAATAACCGCTTCTAGGAGCTTAAAAATACACTAGTGTGCATGGGGCCTTAGTAATTATCAAATACTTAAACAAAAAGGAAAAAACACAAATAAAAGAAACGCAACATGAAATAAACTAAACTACCTAAAATATCTCCCCCCCAAAATAAATAAATAAATAAAATTAAAACAGCTTTTAAATATAAAAAAAATCTTTTTAAAAAAAATTAAATTCACCTACGCAGCTTAATAAACAAAATTCTGAATTTCCATTTTGAATTGTGGGTTTTGCACCACAAAATTATTTAGCTAGCATGCAATGCCAAGCTGCGGTTTCTAAAAGCAAGCAGAATCCTCTGTTGTATTAAAAGAGGTTTCCAGAGAGAGAGAGAGATATAATTTCCCCGGTACAAATCATTAGTAAGACCTCATCTGGAATATGCAGTTCAGTTTGGGCTCCAATTCACAAAAAGAACATTGGGGAACTGGAGAAAGTACAGAGAAGGGCAACCAAACTGATAAGTAGGCATGGAGGAGATCAGCTATGAGGAAAGATTAGAGGAACTGAATATATATTCCCTCTTGAGAAGAGGAGATTAAGGGGGGGATATGATCAACATGTATAATACATAAGGGGGATATGATCTCCATGTATAATACATAAGGGGGGATATGATCTCCATGTATAATACATAAGGGGGGATATGATCTCCATGTATAATACATAAGGGGGGATATGATCTCCATGTATAATACATAAGGGGGGATATGATCTCCATGTATAATACATAAGGGGGGATATGATCTCCATGTATAATACATAAGGGGGATATGAACTCCATGTATAATACATAAGGGGGGGATATGATCTCCATGTAAATACATAAGGGGGGGATATGATCACCATGTATAATACATAAGGGGGATATGATCTCCATGTATAATACATAAGGGGGGATATGATCACCATGTATAATACATAAGGGGGGATATGATCTCCATGTATAATACATAAGGGGGGGGATATGATCACCATGTATAATACATAAGGGGGGGGTATGATCCCATGTATAATACATAAGGGGGGATATGATCTCCATGTATAATACATAAGGGGGGATATGATCATCATGTAATAATACATAAGGGGGGATATGATCACCATGTATAATACATAAGGGGGGATATGATCTCCATGTATAATACATTAAGGGGGGATATGATCTCCCATGTATAATACATAAGGGGGGATATGATCACCATGTATAATACATAAAGGGGGATAGTTGATCACCATGTATAATACATAAGGGGGGATATGATCTCCATGTATAATACATAAGGGGGGTTATGATCACCATGTATAATACATAAGGGGGGATATGATCTCCATGTATAATACATAAGGGGGGATATGATCTCCATGTATAATACATAAGGGGGGATATGATCTCCATGTATAATACATAAGGGGGATATGATCTCCATGTATAATACATAAGGGGGATATGATCTCCATGTATAATACATAAGGGGGGATATGATCTCCATGTATAATACATAAGGGGGATATGATCTCCATGTATAATACATAAGGGGGGATATGATCTCCATGTATAATACATAAGGGGGGATATGATCTCCATGTAAAATACATAAGGGGGATATGATCACCATGTATAATACATAAAGGGGGGATATGATCTCCATGTATAAATACATCAGTGGTTCATATAATGAACTCGGTGTAGAGATATTCACCCTGAGGTCATCACAGAGGACAAGGGGGCACTCTTTATGTCTGGAGGAAAAGAAATTTAATCTCAAAACATGGAAAGGTTTCTTCACAGTAAGAGCTGTGAAAATGTGGAATAAACTCCCTCAAGAGTTGGTTGTGGCCAGTTCAGTGGATTGCTGTAGGAAAGTCCTGGATTATTTCTTGGATACACAGAATATAACTGGATATAACATTTATAGGTAAAGTTGATCCAGGGAATATCCGATTGCTCTCAGGGGATCAGGAAGGATTTTTTTCCCTGCAGGAGCAAATTGGATCATGCTTTGCTGGGTTTGTTTGCTTTCCTCTGGATCAACTGTGTGGGTATAGGAATATAACTTTTTTTTTTAATGGTTGAACTGCATGGACTTTTGTATTTTTTTTAGCCAGACTAACTTTGTAACTATGTATTTTTTTTATGCTGCTCACCCTAATCTTTATTTTTTTTAAACAGTTTAAAAGAAAGATTTATGGTAACACGTGCTGTTAGTATATTTATCGCTCTGCACATAAAAACACACAGGTTAGAACTGGACACTTTTCCCCAAGTGTTGGTGACTACACAAAATTGTTGACCACTTGTTTGCTCAAATGCATTTTCAGCTGAACAAACAATGACACCGTGACCTGTGTAAAGTCCGGCTAATAACTCCCACACATTGTTTTCCACCTAACACATATGAAGGAGGAATTCCACTGAGCACTTCCATCAATGCCATTGTAAATGATTTTGGAGGGTTTGCACTAGGCTGGCACTTAGCATCAACATAATACAGCCACTGTGGCCTAGGAAGCTGAATTTTTCCAAAGATGGCACATTTCATTAATGGGGATTTGAATATTTTATGCATTATTTGTTTCTTTTTTTTGCACTGGAGCCTGCAATATATACAGCAACCGCAATCAAATGGACCATGGTTGCAATGATCAGCCTCCTGAGGACTATTCCTTCAGCTGTAGGTCTGTACAGAAATAGATACCTTTGGGTATGGAGCTGAAATCAGCAATGGACCACAAGGGTGGTGACATCACCGCAGGGGCGGACTGACCATTTGGGAACTCAGGCACTGCCCGAGGGCCCTGGGTCAGAAGGGGCCCCATGAGATGCCCCTGGTACCTTTTTCATAGGCTTTTTTGGTATGGTTTGAGCAAGGACACAAGGGCCCCATGGTCCCCTATTGCCCGGGGCCCCATGAGTTGTCAGTCCACCCCTGCATCACCGCACTCTGTGTAAGCAGGCGCTCCCAAAAGGGTTAAAAGTGTATCTTCTGCTGTGATCATGCCTCTGAAGTTACTCAGGTGTAAGTGTACAGACTAAGGCTGGCCATACACTATACAATTTTCTGTTCAATTTCTGCCCAATTTCCTTTAGATTTACCTTCAACTATGTAGTGCAAGCGCCTGTCTAATTGGATACAATTGAAAGTATTGGTTAGGATTGACCTCAAATTATATGGTTTTTGGTAATAATAAAGCAAAATTCTCAAGAAAAAATTGTATAATGTATGGCCAGCCTTACTGTTACAATGTATCTCGTTGCAATCGTTATCCTTGGCTGACCTGCTGAAGTGGTGGAACTAAGAAGGAAGGGTCACCACTGCTGGCCAGGTTTTCTATTCTTTTTCACAAGGTTAACCACCCCCTGCAGGTGCTCATAAGTACCCTGGGCAGGGCTGCTTTTAGAAAACACGGGGCCCCATACAGCCAAACATACAGGGCCCCCCCCCGCCTCCAAAAAAAAAAAACAAAACAGTTTACTAAGCTTCAGTTATGAACACAATGAGTGATCGGTACAAATCACTCATTGTGTTCATTCAGGAAAGGAGGGGCTGGTAGATATGACATATTTACCGAATTCTTCCCCCACTCTCCATCCTGAAGGATCCTATTGTGTGCTTGTAGCTGTCGATGGGAAGAAGAGGTGGGGGTAGCCGGCAGGACTGCTGGGGTGGGGGCACACAGGGGGGCCTGGGCAGGGGGAAATGTATAGTACACAGGGAGGGTGATGGGTGCGGCGAGGGGGGGGGGTTACTGGAACCAATCCCCTTTATGCCTCTCTCTGCAGCAGCTGAAAGCCAGTAGGAGGGAGAGGAGAAGAAGCCAGCTTTCAGCTGTGGCAGAGAGAGCAATTCAGTGGATCGGTTCCAGTTATTGCCCCCCTGCCATGCCGATCACCCTCCCTGCCTACACCCAACTTCCTGGGCCCCCCTGCTGGCCTGGGCCCCATACAGGAGGACTGACTTATCCACGGTCCTGGCCTGGGAGGGTTAGGAAAAAGACTGTCAAGATGTAGTCATTACATTATTGGTCTAAACATCCCTTTGGGGGGAGCCCAGTCAGGGTTCCCAGTGGGGTCTGGAGCCTGTGGACTCATGGACTTATGCTACCTTGCATTGGACCCTTCATATGGACTATTGCTACCTCTTGTGGATTTACTTTCTGAATGGACTCTTGTCTTTATGGACTTGTCATGTGTTTATGGTATGACTACCACATGAGACGTTAGAGAACTTTGTACAGGAAAGTGTGAGGAAGATGTCTGAGAACTGCCTGCTTGTTAAATACGGGTATAACATGATACATAGCCAGAAAAATGGACTTCTCTTTTAAAGCGTTACTAAGCCCTGGACCCTGCATTCACTATATCTGGTCTCCCCGGACCCTGCATTCACTATATCCGGTCCCCGGACCCTGCATTCACTATATCCGGTCTCCCCGGACCCTGCTTTCACTATATCCGGTCTCCCCAGACCCTGCATTCACTATATCTGGTCTCCCCGGACCCTACATTCACTATATCCGGTCTCCCCGGACCCTGCATCCACTATATCCGGTCTCCCCCGGACCCTGCATCCACTATATCCGCTCTCCCCGAACCCTGCATCCACTATATCCGGTCTCCCCGGACCCTGCATTCACTATATCCGGTCTCCCCGGACCCTGCATTCACTATATCCGGTCTCCCCGGACCCTGCATTCACTATATCCGGTCTCCACGGACCCTGCATTCACTATATCTGATCTCCCACAGTACACACAACATGGAAATGCAATTATGTTCATAAATATAAACTGCTAAATACCTTTTCTCATCAGCAGTTAGAGCAGTCTTGTGACTTCAGCAGAGCACTGGTTAAAGCTTGTAGGCAGAGTTTTCTTTCTGTTCCTGAGGATGCAGAACCCCAGACCTCTGTCTGGACAGTGCTGATTGGCCCTGTGCAGATCACATGCACTCTCCCAAGAAAAAAAAAAAAACCTCTCTAGCAATTCACGCTAAACTGAGCATGTGCATATGGCTACGGGTTCAGTCTGTATCAGGTGGACATTTGAACAAGAGGAGGATCAGAGAAGACAGGATCAAATGGCCTTTTTTTACACAATGCAGAGGATTAACCCCTTAGGGTTCCACAGTGAGTATAACAAGCATGCTTTACTGCATATACAGACTGATTGTACTGTTGTGGGTTTAGTAACACTTTAAGAAGCATCTATTTATTCACTTAGCATATACCTGAACTCAGACAGTAGAGAGTTTATAGGTTATAGGGGACACGGAGAATGTTAATTGTGCCCAAAAAAATCCCTGAAAAATCTACCTTTTGTCTTTAATCCCTTTAATTGCTTAGGCGCTCCTTTGTCTACAACTTCATAGCTGTATGTCTGCAGTAGAAGATGTAAGGTCCTGGTGCCTGTGACTGCTGCTCTCCAGAGGGGGAATGAGATTTGGAGGCATCCAGAGGGGGCGCTCTAATTACGGTATATGTAAATTGATGGCACTATACAAGTACCTGTCATAAATAAATGTCAGGTGACAATATATTCAGTTTGCCTCTTCTAACTGTTCAGTGCCTGTTGTCTTTGATATAGTACTGCTACTGAGTACTAAGTATTACTTTCAGTGATTTTCTGTAATACTGTATGCTTTGTACACTGAACGTAGCGTGTCAGAGGGGCCGAAGTACTTAACCTCCTCACGCCGGCCGCACACAAATATGCGGCCTCCCGGAATCTGGGCCTAGACGCCGAGCAGCCTCACATTTGCGTTCTATTAAAAAAGGACATATGTGCCTGCGCGCTCCCAGCACACATGTCCGGTACTCATGGAAAGATCCTGATCTCCTCTTTCGATTGGGACCTTTCCCAATCATGTGACTGCCGTAAATGCGCATCACGGCGGTCACATAAATGGCGGTCACACAAACCCCGTCCCGGCTTCAGGAAATCTTAAAAGGCCGGGAGGCGCCGATGTGAAGGGGTTAAAGACCAAACCGTCCTCTCCGCTTCTCCCACGACCTCCTGCTCTCTAGCTCCCTTGCCTCCTCCTCCCATACTCGTCTCCAGGACTTCTCCAGAGCCTCCCCCTTCCTCTGGAAATCTCTACCTTGCAGTGACAGCACCGACTTAGGGGCATTTTTCCTTCTATTGACACCAGCAATTACAGGACATTTTTTCCTTCTAGTGGCACCGCCGACTCAGGGACATTTTTTCCTTCTAGTGACACCGCCGAGTCAGGGACATTTTTTCCTTCTAGTGACACCACCGATTCAGCGACATTTTTTCCTTTTAGTGACACCGAGTCAGGGATATTTTTTTCCTTCTAGTGACACCACCAACTCTGGTACATTTTTTCTTTCTAGTGGCACCACCGCCATTTTTTCCTTCTAGTGACTCTTCCAGCTTCCTTAAGATTGTGATCGGTGAGAGGCGGAAGAGTCGATGGGTCGAAGGTATACTAACACCTTTCAAACCAGTTTTTGTTATTTTTCATCATGTCAGTCTGGTGTCACGTTCTGAAAATACCTGATATAAAAATACTTCACATCCGCATTCTTGAGTGCAATTTTTATAAACATGCTGACTTGCTATATCAACTCCTTTCTTTTCACATCACGGCAACAGAAGAAATACAAATGTTCAGGTCTGCTAAACACGGAGCTAGAAAGAAAGAGTGAAAAAATAAGAGCAGCCAGGTTCTTTATTGCAGAAGAGAGGTGACTCCTACCTGCCTGATCACAAGGTACAATACATCATGTATCGTATGTGAATCCAACAAGTATCATGCTAAATGTGGACAGTTTTTTCTTCTAGTGACACTGACTCAGGGACATTTTTTTCTTCTAGTGACACCACCGAGTCATGGACATTTTTCCTTCTAGTGACACCACCGAGTCATGGACATTTTTCCTTCTAGTGACACCACCGAGTCATGGACATTTTTCCTTCTAGTGAAACCACCGAGTCATGGACATTTTTCCTTCTAGTGACACCACCGAGTCAGGGACATTATTTTCCTTCTAGTGACACCACCGACTCAGGGACATTTTTTTCCTTCTAGTGACACCACCGACTCAGGGACATTTTTTTTCCTTCTAGTGACACCACCGACTCAGGGACATTTTTTCCTTGCAGTGACAGCACCGACTTAGGGGCATTTTTCTTTCTAGCGACACCACCAATTCCAGGACATTTTTTCCTTCTAGTGACACCACCGACTCAGGGTCATTTTCCTTCTAGTGACTCCATCGACTCAGGGTCATTTTTTTTCCCTCTAGAGCGACACCACTGAGTCAGGGACATTTGTTCCTTCTAATGACACCACCGAGTCAGGGCTATTTTTTCCTTCTAGCGACACCACTGAGTCAGAGCTATTTTTTCCTTCTAGTGACACCACATTTTTTTCCTTGCAGTGACACCACCATCCCAGGTGATTTTTGTTGATTGTATGTAACAAACACTACAAGCATTTTGGTGTGTGCAAATATTGGCTCCATCCCCTTCTCCACACAATTGGGGGTGGTGTCGAGGGGGCGGGGGGGGGGGGGGTACAGTCACCCCAGACACTGGATGACCTTGTCCTGGCATTGGGTAGGGGTTCGTCTCTCTGCTTTTTCTCAGCTTTTCTGCAGTTCAGGCTGCAGGTTGTATTCCTATGTAATGTTTTAAACTGGCCAACTGGCAAGATAGAAATGAAAATGTATTCAACTTAAAAATGAGTGCAAACACCTAGAACTGACAGTGATAGCCCCTCCCCCACTCCGACCCTATAGATCCCTTCTGTCTATTTTAGAACTAAAGGACCCAGCATGCCTTGTGACTGCGAGCTTTGTGGCATGCTGTGACTTGTAGTTGATTGACATCTGGCGGGTCCCGGGAGAAGATGTGCATTTTGCTGCACGTGTTACAACATAACAGGAGATGAAATCACGCTCGCTCTATTTCCAGGCATTGTTGTCTGCTATGCGAGGCCATCGCTGGGTCCAGCCGAGGTTGTGCTCTCCAGTATTTAAGATTCACACTTTGGGCTCCAACGCGGTTCTCTTAAATGTTTGGAAGAGCTCCTGAGCATTGATTTTTTGCCGCTTTTTTCCTTTTTTTTTATAATTAGATGTAATTGGAAAGTTCAAATGTATTTTATTATTATTATACAGGATTTATAATATTATTATTATTCTTCAGGATTTATATAGCGCCAACAGTTTGCTCAGCACTTTACAATATAACAGGAGACAATACAGCAACAATATAGTTCAATACAAGAGGGTTAGGAGGGCCCTGATCCTCGGAGCTTACAATCTAAGAGGGAGGGGCTAGTGGTACAAAAGGTAGTAACTGTGGGGGATGGACTGGTAGGAAGAGTAGAAGATACCAATTATTAGCTGAAGCCAGGATAGGCTTCCCTGAAGAGAGAGGTTTTCAGAGATCGCCTAATCGTGAGCAGAGTAGGCGATAGTCTGATAAATTGGGGTAGAGATTTCCAGAGGATGGGGGAAGCTCTGGAGAAGTCCTGGAGATGAGCATGGGAGGAGGAGACAAGGGAGCTAGAGAGCAGGAGGTCTTGCGAGGAGCGGAGAGTATTTAGAATCTTATTATTTCAATTGATTCACAATTGTTGGCTGTTTTTTCCCAACGGGGCTCTTTTACCCCCCCCCTCCTCCTCCTGCCCAAGCCAATATTCACTGTGAATGATAATTGCGCCGTCATGCAACACTGTTCCCATTTGAAATTTTTATTATTTTTTTTTCACACAAATAAAGATCTATTTTGGTGGTATTTAATCATCAGTGGGATTTTTTTTATTTTGCAAATAAATATTCTCTTTCTACACAAATTTAGGCCAAAATGTATACTGCTATATTTTGTTGGTGAAAATAACCCACGAGTGTTTATTATTTAGTTGGTAGGAAAATTATAGAGTCCACAAAGCATGGGATATATCTAAAATTCAATAAATCCTGATGTACTGATGGGCGATCTCATTTATTGAGGCCCAAAAACACCAAGATAGTACACATACCCTCCAAATGACCGCTTTTCCGAAAGTAGTCTGAGGTATTTAGTAAGAGGCATGGCAGGTTTTGTGAAGTTGTCATTTTTTGTTATAATTTTGTGAAAAATTAAGAAATGAAAAAATATTTGGACAGTTTCTGCTTGAATTTGTTTGCCAGATGTCAGAATAGCCTCCCAGAGCTGCTGTTTGGATGTAAACTTCCTCCCACCCTCATAGATCTCTTGCTTGAAGATGCTCCAAAGGTTCTCAATAGGATTGAGGTCAGGGGAGGATGGAGGCCACACCATGACTTTCTCTCCTTTTATCCCCATAGCAGCCATTGATGCAGAGGTATTCTTTGCAGCATGAGATGGTGCATTGTCATGCATGAAGATGATTTCATTATGGAAAGCATAGTTCTTCCTTCTGTACCAGGGAAGAAAGTGGTCAGTCATAAACTCCACATACTTTGCAGAGGTCATCTTTACACCTTCGGGGACCCTAAAGGGGCCGTCCTGCTCTGTTCCCATGATTCCGGCCCAAAACATGACTCCACCACCGCCTTGCTGACATCGCAGCCTTGTTGGAACAGGGTGGCCATCTACCAACCATCCACTACTCCATCCATCTGGACCATCCAGGGTTGCACGGCACTCATCAGTGGACAGGACTGTTTGAAAATTAGTCTTCATGTATTTTTCTGCCCAATGCAGCCGTTTCTGCTTGTGAGCATTGGTTATGCAGGCCATAGATGGGTCGAAAATCGGCCGATTTTTCTTTTAAAAAAACGAAAAATCGGTCGTTCAAGCGGC